TGCAGAATGTCTTCAGTCATTGTGAAAGTGGCAGCATATTATCCTAAGTGTCTGTTATTGTTTCTTCACATTTTCTAACTCTTTCTCCCACTAATTTTTATTCCAGAGATTTCTGTTGGCACAGAAATAATGCTTTTAAATGACTAAAATTAGCTGGGAGGTGAGATTCAGATCTGATTATGGATTTGACAAATTAGAAACATGAGCAGAAACGAATAGGTGTACAGGATAATATCCTAAGGGAAGAAAACTTAAAAACTTAAACAAATATGAGTAGCAACTGCTTATATTAATGATACGTGGTCATATTTCTGATTAGAAATTCACTTTTGCAAAAGTTTTCATCTGAAAAACAATTTGATATGATTTATAAAAATAAAAAATACTTTAAAGAATTTATAAATATGGAAATATGTATATATCTTAAGACATTTCATTGGATTTATTGTCTTCTTGACCTTGCATTTCTAGTGGTCACCTCTTATTCAGATTACCCCCGGTAGCTTCTTAACGGGCTTCTCTGCTGCTAATGAAATAAATGTCCCAGGCAATTTATCTCCACATCACCACCAGCACACTTTTTAAATTTTAAATCTTATCATGCCATTATCCTGCTTAAAATTCTTCAACTGTGTCCATACTTTCCAAAAGAACTGGGAAAACATGTAAGACCCCTTCGTGTCTGGCTCCTGCCTGCCCTGCAAATTCTGCCTTCCCCGACGGCTGCCCAGGCTTGGGCCAAACGGAACACTGTGCAGTTTCTCTCACCAGACAGACTTTTTGGTGCCTGGTTACATTTGCATTTGAAAAAGCTTCATTGCAGCTTGTGTACCCAACAGACTCATGTATATATATATATACATATTTATCATACATTTATCATTTCGTTGTGTTGAGAACATTCAAAAGTGTCTGCCAACAGATGAATGAATAAAGAAAAATGTACAGATACACAATGGAATGCCGTTCACTTTTTAGAGCATAAATATTGCTGCTTCTCTGAAGCTTTCCCCACTTACAGTTGCATGTGCTCTCTGTGTTCTCATAGAAACCACGGCGTGCCTCCATCACAGCACTCAAATACAACTATTTTGTATCTTAATGATCTGTTTACTCATCTGACTTTCCCACTAAATATGGGACTCCTGCTTGACAGGACCTTGTCATGTTCACGTTTGAATCTCCCACGTAGTGTATACTTTCTGTTATATAGTACATGCTCAGTTAATATTTTTAGAGCAAGAGAATGAATACATTGAAAACATGCTGAATATATAAAAATTACACTAAGGTCTAATGCAATCAATTTGATTAAATCAACCTGATTAATTAAGAGGCGCTCTTAATGAATTAAGAACTCCTTTTAAACAATTTAGTCTTTTTTGTTAAAGCATTCTGTAAAGGAGATTTACCTCAAAGTTTGGTTGTGGCACACTTAAATGTAATTGAAGTTATAAATTAAGCAATTTCCTGTGTTCATTTTTGAGAGTATTAAGGGAATATTTTAGAAGTGCATTCAAACTCAACTCAAATAGCATGACTTGAAGTACTGTATTACTTCAGAATTTCATGAGACAGCAGTAATATTTTCATTCTTTAACAATCTGGTGGTGAATTAATACTAAAACAGTAATTTAAAATTCCACTTGCAAAAATGTCCTTTAACCACCTGTAAAGAGACTAGTTGCCACTGAATGATTTATTATTGTATGCATACATTTAAGAGGGTCAAATTGAACTTCACTTCAGTCATGCTTACTAAAGGAAAAAAACAATAAATTTCTTCCAGAAATACCCTCCTAGTCATTTTCTTTTTCATCTAATTAGTTATTTGTGAGAGTGCCATTGTTTGGTTAGTACTCATCAGAAATAACTACCCTAAGAAAACCTCATGTATTAAATTCCCAATTCCATACAGAACGTTTGCTGTCTAATGCGCATCAAAGAAAAATGGAGAAGATAATTATCTGAGGAGGGACAGCTCTAGCCTGAAGTGTTATTTGGAAACAATACAAAATGTTGCAGTGCCCAGATACAAAAATGGAGGCATTGAGAAATCAGGTAGACACTGAAAAACAGGAAAAATTTCACCAAACCAAATTCAGAGTAGAACAAGTCAGAATCATGGTGTGTTGAAAGTCATCTTGCTCTTAGCAGAACGTCAAACATCCAGCACTCACCAGAAATGGGAGCATCTAAGATCTGCTCTAAACTTTACCATTGATTTGTGACTATCATTTGTCAAATGAGAAGAAATAGTTGTTTGCTTACCCAGTAGCGTGAAGGCAGCATTTAAAGAAGCTATTTGAGCTTCCTCTAATAAGAAAGGCAGTGCAAGTACCAAGTGATTTCTCTTTCACCCAGGGAATTTACTTAGAAGTAGTAGGAGGCTCTGGGTCCACTAATGAGATTGCCCCAGATAGAAATAAACCAACACTGGCAAACTAATGAGGGAGAACCGGGCTCCGGGGGAAATTAACAAGGTGCCTTACCTTGACATCAAGTGATTTAAATTACAAGACTATTCTTTAAAAAAAAATTTGACGATTAGTGTTTAGCATTTTAAAGTTTATGCCAAAGATTGAATATTGCCTCTGAAAGAAAGCTTATGTACAGGTTATTTAAAATAATTTTCAGAGGTTATGTCTGACAGGGATCCACTGGAGGGCAGTATATAGTAAGAATTATGGCTGGTTGCCTGGCATATTGATTTGTTTCAGAACATAAACAGTATCACATTACTGTTTAATTTTTCTTTCTTTTTTTTTTTAATGATGTACAGTTCTACTTTCTGTTTTAAAGTTTCAAAAGATTTCCTACATTTAGTACCTGGATAAGTCTGTGTGTTTCCATTTGGTGTGAAGACCGATGGACCTGATTATGTGTTGAAAGTGTTTCTGTCTTACTGACAAATCAAAAAGTGTGAATTCAAGTCTCTGCGCTTGGTTGAACAGTGATGAATTTCAATCTGGCTAGACTTTAATTTAATCCTTTATTTCTCCAAGGAAAGAAACCAGATTCCCAGGGATAGCTGTCATTAATCAAGGTTAGGTCACACTGGCTCACACACCCTGACTCCAGAACATGGCGTAGAAAGTTCTGGATCCTATCAGCTGCCCGTGTAGCCTTCTCTCCACCCCAACACACATGCCTTAGAAAATGTGTTTGATTTGATTTCTGAGCATTAATTACACATCTGTGAGACAAAGCTTGAAATTCAACTGGGTAATTTAACCGTGGAAAGAAACACTGCATCTGATTAAAACAATGATTTTTTGCTTATGATAATGCTTGCCTTCCCACCCATAGTTTCTTCCTTATCTATCTATCCACCCATTTGTTCAATATTTTCTGTTCAATGGTGTATGCATTGTGCAAGCTCTGGGGTTAAAAAGTGAATATGAAATTATGGTTCAGAAGTATGGAATAGGAAATAAATTCTTGTTTTATAAAACAAGGAAAGGTGGAGGTAGGTCATATCTCTAAATCCACAAGGGAAAGTTGGTCCTCTGCTGTCAGTTGGCCATTTCTTAGAACACAAAAGAGTCACAAAAGGGTGGAAGAATTTCTTTACCCTGTTGCTACCTTCCAGGAACACAGGGCTCAGATAAAGTTCAACATTGTCAGTCCCCACTTGGTTTAAGACAATGAATATCATTCCTCACTGAACAACTAAATAACAATCATAGACCTCCTGAGTAAAACAAAGCAGGGTCTGGGAAACAGTCTGTCAAGGATCTTTCTTGAGGTTGGTGCTGTAAAATCAGATGAACCCTCCATTGAGAGGTGGTGGCAAAGTCAGTTGTTGTAGAGTGCTGGGGACAGGTATCTTTAAAGAGGGATGTCTGAAGTGAAAAAGAAAAATATTAATATAAGAGGTTGGTCAAAATAAAGAGCTAGGCATTAAAACTGTGAGAGTAACCAGGCCAGTAGACTCCAAAAAAACAGGGGGTGACAAATCTTTTGGATATGCAGGACCAAGTTTCTTTCACTGCAATCTCAAACTCCTGGGCTCAAGTGATCCTCAGCCTCCCAAGTAGCTGAGACTACAGGTATGCACCACCAAGCCTGGATAATTTTTCTATTTTTAGTAGAGATGGGGTCTCGCTCTTGCAGTGGCTCATGCCTGTAATCCTAGCACTCTCAGAGGCTGAGGTGGGAGGATCCCTTTAGCTTAGGAGTTCGAGACCAGCCAGGTGCAGTGGCTCACACCTGGCCAGGACTGGGTTTCTTGAAGCTCTGGAATAGGCTGTCAATGCTCTTGGCAATGTTGTCCAAGGTCAAGGTTGTCTTTCTTTTCAGTGTGTGCATCACCCAAGTATTTCACCAGCCTTCTTTAGTGGCCCCGATGGCCTCTCCCTTGGTGTTCAGGGGAACATCCAGCCTGTGCATGGTCTGCCGCAGTGGCGAATCCTTTGAGGTTTATATCAAGTCCTCAGCTCCAGCTCGTGGGGCTTCTTCAGACTCTGGGGAAAAGGGCCAGGTCCTGGGAAACCTAGAGTTCCAGTTGGGCTCTGGACAGTTATTTAGGCAGACTACCCAGATAGTAAGAGCAACATTTAACACCTGTTTTGGGAATAATTCAATAATTCTTGAATTATTGCCAATAATTCAAGAAAATTTTGCCATTTTAACAGACAAGATCAAATTCTATTTTATACCAGTGTAATATTTGATAGAAAATCTTCTTTCAAAAATCTTATAAATAAATTCATTATGGTAGGCAAAATAATGCCCCTGCCCTACAATGATGTCCCTGTCCTAATCTCTGGAACCTGTGACTGTGTTATGTTTATGGAGAATTAAAGTTGCTAATGAAATTAAGGTTGCTAATCATCTGGCCTTAAAATAACAATATTATGCTTGATTATCCAGTAGAGCCAATGTCACCACAATGGTCCTTTAAATGTGGAAGCGGAAGTACAGAGGAGTCACTGTCAGAGTGATGCCACACAAGAAAGACTTGCTCAATCATTCCTGGCTTTGAAGATAGAAGGGGGCTGTAAACCAAGGAATCCAGGTGGTCTCTATAATCCTGAAAAGGTAAAGAAACAGAATCTCTTCTAGAGCCTCCAGAAGGAGTACACCCTGCTTATGTCTTGATTTTAGTCCAGTAAGACCCATTTTGGACTTCTGACCTCCAGAATTGTATGATAATAATATGGGGTTGAAGCTACTAAGTTTTTGATTATTTGTTACAGCAGCAATTGGAAACTAATACACCCATCAAACTTAGTCAGTTTTGATCATGACAAAAAAAAAAAAAAGAAAGAAAGAAAGAAATCCCTGTCTACATACAAACCATCTACAGCTTTCCATATTCATTCAGGTTTTGCCCTACATTCTCCTCTTCTTATTCTGGAACAGCCAGTCATTTTACTTTAGGACAAAATTACTCTCATTTCCTTAACATTCCATATAGTACAGCTTCTCAATGTGGCAAAAATGAACATGATGTTTAACAGACCCCCAAAATACTCTTTCTGTCTCATAAAAATAAGAGGCAAAAATATACGAACTTAAAACTGTGTTTAGTAATTAACATTTTAGTATTATATCTTACTTAGAAATGATCTAGGCATCCAGTGAATATTGATTAGTTGATTCAATTTCATATCAGTGCAAAATTTTAAGTTATCTAAAAATCTTGGAAATTATCTTCAAGTTGGCCTACCATAAGACAAAAATGGTTTGAAATAAACAGTTTGCTTACCCAGATGTCTGACTGCTGATAGCGTTTAAGCCTCGCTTCTCCCTCTTCCCCTTCTGTCCTACATCCAGGCAAACTGATGAGAAAGGTCAGATACTTCCTCCTGTGGTGCTGGTGGGAAGTTCTAACCATGCAAGCCCGTGGAGAACTTCACTCTAACCCCACTCTCTAACCACCACGAAACCTCTAGCCAGTCTTCTCTCTTTGCTCTCTTCCAAGCCATTTTAGACCCATTTGGGAGGCCTTTCCTGTCCTCTCTGGAAAGCCTCCTTATGTGAGTAATAAACCTCCTGACACTTTCTGATGTTTGTGTGGCACCATCATCTCCCACATGAACCACATTTTGGGTGGGTGTCCATTCCCACTTTGCAGAGTGTCTACAACACTGTTGAAATAGAATTTGTCAAAATAGTGATTCAGTTTGGTTAAACACATTTACATTTTTCAAAACCTAACCATTCTATAGAAGTAGTGCTAGCTTACTCACTCAGTAAACCTGTACATGTGTAGGAGAAACATACCCAAGTGGAAAAAAGCAGTGCTTAACACTGGTCTGTTGGAGAAGACATCTCTGTTTTTAATTAAATCAAAATGATTAAACTACTCTTATTTGCCAAAGGTTTGTGTAAATTTGTGAACTTGAGTTCTTAAAGCATTTCTAAGTTTATTTTTATAAGGCTATGTCTTTTTTATATTGAAGTTATTTGAGGTTGAATTTCCTTAATTTATGGGAATTTTAGGAATATTCAATTTATATATTTTTTTAAAATCTCTAAGCCAATTGGAATAGAAATATTACATACCTACATAATGAGATGCAAAAGCCTTTCTGAATTACAGGCATGTAAACATACTGACAGACACAAATGGTTTATAGCTTTATTTTCAAAATTTCATCCATCTGCCAAGCATAAGCACAGAAGTAAAAATTGTACTCCTCCAACTCAAAGAGCTGTTTCCCTTCCAATGGGTACAAATTCCTCGTTGATTTGAGTACAAAATAGACAAAAAGGAAAACAGAAAAAATACTAACATACAAGATTCTCTCGTCTTTCAACCAAGAAAAACAAGATCATTATAAACAATTAATACATTTACAGAAATCATGAAATGATCACACCATGAAACCAAAAGAAACCAGCACCAGGTATGAAGTGGGTACTCAAAAAGAATTAAATCCTTATGACGCTGTAGATGAACAAGAGTCCAGAACACAGGATCAGGAGCTGAACTCACTTTTGGGCCCTCAAATTAACACTCAGGAAAGACCTTGTTGCCTGGTAGGAGTAAACGGGTATCTGAAGGTGAAGACCAATCTCATCTGAGTAATGGCACCAAACCGTGAAAGGCAAAATGCACTAGGCAATTCAGGAAAGGATTTTATTCAGGCTGTTGTAACAGTGATAACATTCATTAATTATTAACATCACAAAGAAGAGTGAGAAAACTTGGGGTTGTATTAAACAAAGGAGTCATTGGTGAAGGGTGGGGGTGGAATATTTAAGGACTTGGTGACCCTTTGTAGTTAGCTGGTTTGCTGCTTAACCATTTTGCCATTTTTCACAGCATAGAAGAGTCACAAAGGATAGAGGGCTTCTCATTTGTCACTGCTTTCCATGAACGAAAGGATCAGGCGCAGTTCAACATTGTCACTTATAATAAGCTCCTTGACCATGGAAACCTGATACACACAGGCAGGTAGTATTAGCCTTGGGAGCCTTTCCATGCCTTGTAACATCAGGTGCTATCTGGAAATTTGTGTATCCTTTAAAACAAGATATTCTTTATGCACCGCATGACTTTATGTATTTGAAGATTTTTTAAAAATAAAAACACATTTACTGCTTGTAAAAATTTTTAGATGCACTGTGAAAAGTAAATCACTGAACAGAAAACCAGCTTTCGACTGACTTTCCATTGAACTTTCAAGGTGGGGAAGTTCAGTGATTTTAAGGACAAGTAGACATGCTCTAGAAGCATCTGCTATGATTGAGGGAAGATCACTGGCCAGGGTACTTGGACATCTCTTAACACAGGCAATTTTAGCTTTGTCTGAAGAGAAGCTTTGAGAAAGCAAGGGCAGAGGAAAACTTTCTTTAGCAGCCATGAGAACACCAGGGACCCAGGTAAATTAGATATTATGAATAATAGTTTGAAAAATGCTCAAGTTAGACCACTTTACAGTAGCATGGGCATTTTAGTCTGCAGAGTAGCAGGAGCAGCTTAGCAAGCTAATAGAAATCATATCATCCTGGCCAGAGCTGTGTTTTTGTTGTAGCATAATAAATAACTCAACAAGTAGTTAAGTATCAGTAGGGGTTTTTGGAAATGTGCAATGTGTATTTGAAAAAAAATGAATATTTCATAATTGTTGATTTAGGGCTCTATGTTCATCTATTAGATTACTGTTGTTAATCATGAGGTTGATGGTTATTTTTGTCTTTCTAAAAATCTACTTGTTCCATCCATTCTGAAAGATTTGTCAAAATGTTCCCACTGTGATGGTGAATTTATCTACTTCTGTCATTTTCTGCTTTATATTTTTGAAGTTACGCCAATTAGGTGCAAATGAATTTAGAATTGTTTCATTCTTCCAATGAACTGAAACTTTTAGCATAACATAGTGAAAGTACTATTGCCTTAATTTTTATTTTATCTGATGTTAGTATAGTATATTCAAATTTTCTTTTGGTCAGCATTTGCCTTTTAGCTTCCATCCTTTTATTTCAACTTTTTGTTTTTTGTACCTTATCTGTCTCTTTCTCTTTGCGTATAGCTGAATTCTGATCCCTTTATGAAAATTTCTGGCATTTAACTGAAGATTTCAATTATGTCTGTCAATCTACTTCAATTTATTGTAAATACTAATATTCAAGGTATATGTATTTATACCTACTCTTTTATTTTGTGATTTTTATTTTTCTTATTTTCTTTTATTTTCTTATTTTTCTGTTTCTTTTTTTCCCTTTTATTTCTTGCCTATTTTTCAATTGATTGAGAGCGATGTCTCTCTTTCCACTTTGTTCTCCTATACTTACTCTTAAACTTATAACAGGCATACTTAATGTAGAAAATTAAAATTTTCTACATATAGTCTACATATATTCTGAATATTTTAAATAACTTTTATCATTCTGGGTCCAACCAGGAAAAAAGAAATCCCTTGAAGTCTTTCAGTAGAAGGAATTTAATACATAGAATTGGTTGCAGAAGTGATGGGAATGCTAAGAAGCTATAATATATGGAGGACAGAAATTCAGAGTTCAGCAATAGTAAAAAGTTGCTTCCACTTCTAGGGTTGGAGGGCAATGGGAAGACAAATGTGAATGATATAAATATTATATCTGCTTGCTAGGTCTCCAATTTCTATTAATCTACCCTAATAGTTTCCATCTCTTAGCTGGCTATGTTCTCTGCATTCTGTGTAGTTTTGCCTAATACCTTCCAGTTTACTAATTCTTATCTTAGGTGTGTGCTGTTGAATGATTTTAATTGGTTCTAAAAATTAAATGATTACATTATTCATTTCTAAAACTTATCTTCAGTTCTTTAAAAAAATCTGCCTGTTCATTTTTTTATAGTCTCTTGCTCCTTTTATGTCCCATATTAAAAAAAAAACACATAATTATTTTGTATTTTGTATTCTGCACTTGGAAACTCTAGTGCCTTATGTTTTTGTAGGTCTGATTCTGTTATTGATTGTTTTTTCTGTCTCTCACTCATGGTGACTTATTTTCTTGTGTGTTTTATTTTTATTGTGAACTTATATTTTGTTGGAAGTGTTTCTGAAGATTCTTTAAATCTGGGCATGAACATGTAGGAAACTTCAAGGAGTATTTATTTTTGCTCCTATGAGTACTTGGGGGAATTATAAACATACACTTTATAATTTTTGGTTTACAGTTTTAGGGCCATGAAAAGACTCTAAATCAGGCCCTAAATCCACATGAAGTCTGGCCAGTAAACAAGAATTTTCACGAAAGATTTTTTTTAAACCTCTACCTAGAATCCAGGCCAAGACAGAAAACTTTCTTGCCTACTGCTTTTGTGAAAAATTTTAAAGTTTTTCCTGGTCCTGAGAGTTTGTTTCTCCAAGATCCTGACTTAAGTGAGATGACCTCTAATCCAGCTCCCTTCTCTGCAAAAGCCCAAAGCTTCACCCCTGAGCCTCCCTGTGCATTTGTCAGGCTTCCAGGCAGTGGCTCTTCCTGAGCATCCTGCAGATTTACGGCTCACTCACCCCTTTCATCTCATGCTTCTGCTTTGCTCCTCTCCTCCAGGTTTTTCTCTTTTATGCTTTCTCAAGGCTTATTCAATCTTTCAAAAGAGTTTTAACTATATATTTTATTAAGCATTTTTAGAAGGTACACTAGGGAAGGGTACAAATTCCATTCATAAAATAAACTTGTGAAGTTGCTACCCTTATTTATTTGCTATTTAAATAAGGGTAGCAACTTCAGAAATTATCTTTTGTAATAGTACAGAAATACTATTCAAAGTGTTTCTTTGTATTTGTTAGTATTTTCCTCTACTTCCTATGTGTCAGACTCTCTTGTGAACACTTTATATACATTATCTAATTCAATCTTGTAATAACTCTATGAAATAGTTGTGTTTTTTTTGAGATGGGGTCTCACTATGTTGCCCTGGCTAGTCTTGAACTCCTGACCACAAGTGACCACCTTCCTGCCTCAGCCTCCCAAATTGCTAGTATTACAGGCATGAGCCACCATGCTTAGCCTAGACATTGCTATTATTACCCTCATTTTATAAGCTCATAAATATTAACATAGTATTATACAAATTATGTAGATAATATGTTAGAGATTCATTTGAAACCAAGTCTCGCCGAATATAAAAACCCATGTTCTTAACCACACTTCTGCAAAATTGAGTACAAATACAATGAGTGGATAGCTCTAGACTCCGTAAAGTAGTCTTCATGAAATCTTCATTCATTAGCCAGAAGGCTACTGCATTTTTAATCTTTGATTTTACTTCTAGGGATATGGTGATAAGACTTTGCAATTGAAATTCTAAAGATACTTTATTATTATTTTTTAAATTCTATTATTAATATATCAAAGTCTTTGCTAGGGTTTAGTAGTCTCCCATCAACTTTATCCCCAAATCTGTTCTTTGCATCTTTTTGAAACATTCACCTTTAAAGCATGCTAAGTAACAGGTAAATAGGTATGCAAAGAGAGAGAGATGACAAATCAGACAGAATTTTAAATGGCATTAGAAACCCAAGCGTGAGACCCTCTCATTAGCATATTTTTAAAAGCATGATTATGACAGTGACGAGTCTTTTGTCTATGAAAGTGAATCCCATTTAATATACGACACCTCACAGATCAAAAAGAAGACTTTGAGTAAGGAGAATGTGAGCCAGATTTCTCAGAAAGAAAATCATTCTTCATCTGAGCTTGAGATTCCCCACAGCAAACTTTTTATCTGTATTCATTAATGAGAAATCTACAAAGCAGTAGCAGGCCAGCTTCAAGAAGAAAGGAGAAAATAAAGAAATAGTTAGAAACTTCATACAGGTATTTTTAAAAAGGAAATATGAAATAGAAAATGGACAATATTGGTGATTAGGCACTATAATAGGAACAAGGCAACATGCAACCTTTTAATTTAATCAAGTCTCATTTATTTATTTTTGTCATTGCTGTGATTGCTATTGGGGGCTTCTTCATAAATACTTTGTCTCGCCAATATCTAGAAAAGTTTTTATAACATTTTCTTCTAGAATTCTTATGGCTTCATGCCTTACATGTAAGTCTTTTATCTATCTTGAATTAATTTTTGTGAGTAGTGAGAGATATGGATCTTGTTTCATTCTTTTGCATGTGGCTATCCAATTCTCCCAGCACCATTTATTGAATAGGGCTTCTTTTCCCCATTGTCTGTTTTCTGGCTCTATCAAAGATCAGTTGGCTATAGGTGGACAGTTTTATATCTATGTTCTCTGTTCTGTTCCATTGGTCTATGTCTCTATTTTTGTGCCAATACTATGCTGTTTTGGTTACTTATAGCAATGTAGTATAGTTTGAGGTTCAGATTTGTTCTTTTTGCTTAAGATTGCTTTGGCTATTTAGCCTCTTTTCTGGTTCCAAATGAAGCATAGAATTATTCTTTCTATAGCTGTGAAATATGTTGGTATTTTCATGGGGATTGCCTTGAATCTGTAAATCACTTTAGGTAGTATAGAAATTTTAACAATGTTGATTCTACTGATCCATGAGCATGATATGTTTTCCCATTTGTTTGTGTCCTTTGTGATTTCTTTCCTCAATGTTTTGTAATTCTCTTTGTAGAGATTTTTCACCTCCTTGGTTAAGTATATTCCTAGGTATTTTATTTTCTTTGTGGCTATTGTGAACAGTATCGGGTCTTTGATTTGATTTTCAGCTTGACTGTTATTGGTGTGTAGGAATAGAATTTGGTGCATTGATTTTGTAACCTGAGACTTTGCTTAATTTATTTATCAATTCCAGGAGCCTCTTGGTGGAATCTTTGGGGTTTTCTAGATATAAAATCATATCATCAGCAAAAAGTGATAGTTTGATCTCCTCTTTCCCAATTTGGATGCCATTTATTTCTTTTTCTTTCCTGATTGCCCTGGAAATAATCAACAGAGTAAATATACAACCTAGAGAATGGGAGAAAATATTCACAAGCTATA